ACGGCGACATCGACGACGCAGTTCCCCTATTTTCTCTCATGTGTGTCTCGCTTCTTTTCCTCCCGACTTTACTTTTCTTAACCGAGACTCCCTCCAGACTTCTTCTTCTTCTTTTTTTTTTTTTTTTTTTCATCCAACGTAGAGGGTTGATTTGCTTTTTCTTTTCTGCGCTCGACGAGGTTCTCCGCGTGTACTCAGCGTGTTTTCGTTTGATTAGAGATGGGGAGCTTAGATTTTTGCCGCTTTGATATCGCTCGTTTCAGCTAAAGGCTTCCACTTACTTTTTGTAAGATGAGCAAGAAAATAACGGGTAACTTTAACTGGTCTCGTGATACGACGATTTTAAGAGTCCGTTTGATCTGGGGAAAAAGGTGAAAAAGTCGCGATCGTGGCAATCAAGCAAAAGCTGCGCAGTACCTTTTTTTTCCGTGTCATCTACGGTTTTTGATACTCGATGGTGCTCGGTTTTTACAAAGTGTCAATTTTTTCAAAATAGTAATAGGTACTCTCTTTATTGATAAGTAAGTAGTACATTGGTAATCAATCAGTCAAACGTAAAAAAAAAAAATTATTAATACTTACACTTTTTTTTCAATTCTCGATCTCTATCGATAAGTAGACTAGGTCAACGTTTCGTCAGACATCTTTCGTGTACACTTAAGTCACTCTCGTTACCTAATTAAAAGGTAAAAATTACCAGTAATAATAAAGAAATATGGATCAATGATTAGGTAGACATGTTACGTATGAAATTAATTATTAATTATACATGTAGAACATCACTTGTTATCAGGTCCCTTAAAAGTCAATGAATGGACTGAGTAAACATTTCGTCAACCGTCGTTGTCATCTATCGTTTCAAAAATTTATTTTTAATCTGGCCTTGACAGACTTATCCTTCGAAGTTCATAAGAAAGTAGACGATATCAATGATTCTTCAGGTACTGTCATCTTTTATGTTGAAAAAAATACGTAATTAATAAGTAAATAGTAAAAGTTAATAACAATTTAAGCGCGCAACATTTTATTTTTCTGATGGTATAAATGAATGTTTTTTTGTTATTTCTAGATTGCATAAGTATAGATAGACTAGATCAGTGTTTTATTATCCATGCTTTGTTTAATTGAAAAAAAGATAGTTTTTCACAAAACATCAATCTTCAGAAAAGTGAACTCGAAATCAATAAGAAAGTAGTAGAGATCAATGATTGGTTATCCCTACGGTATCAAATGTTGGTAATTGTACTTACAAATGTCAAAAACAAAACTCAAAATGTAAACATCTTTATAACTTTTTGTTTGTTTGAATTCTGTAATAAGGAGAGTAGGTCAATGTTTGGTCAGACGTAGGTGTCATCTTTCGTGTCGGAAAAAAGTTTGTTCTCTTTACGAAACGTTCACCTTTGTAAAATAATAATACTTTGTACTTATAACGATTAATCGGACACACTGCATTCCACAGTAGGTGCCTACTCAGCCCATAATTGTGCCCTATGGCCTCCTGTGTTTTCCAACTATCTTGCAATAAAGTATCTAACGTTATCAGTTTTTTCGATAGAGGCATATAATAGTGCCGAATTTACTTGGTCATTCGTACATTAAACTGCTAGTTGGTTCACGTTACAAATGACACTAAAAATTATTTACTAATGCATCAAAAAATAGAATCCCTTCTTCCATAACAAAAACTAAATCTTTGAGATAAAAAATTGACGTCTACCTTCGTGCTGCGCTTTACACTACAATGAACAAACAAACAATATAAATATCTACGTTGATAAATTGAATTGGATCCCTCCAATTCTTTTTATTTACTTTTTTTCTCCCCCAAGAGAGCCAATCATTTGTCATCAGAAAAAGGGAATCTTCTTTCAACTCAGTCACGCTAAAGATGCTTCATCTCGAACAAAGCAAACGCATCTCTACAAATGTTTTTCAGAATCTACTCTAAACATCATTTCCCCCCCCCCCCCCTTGGATCGCTTCTTTATTCTTCCCCGCGAGAGCAACACAATAACACTCATTGTTTCATCATTAAGTAAAAGCCAAAGACCGCTCCTTGCGAATCAATAGAAGTCGCATGCTCCAGACTGTGATCAGCACGCTCCTTTTCTTTTCCCCTTCTCTAACGCGCTCCTATAGCTATTTATTCCTATTGCTTCTACGGTTTGGTCTTTGCTGGTGTGTATAAGTGTACACGATGAATAAGAAAGTTTATAAAAACGACTTTTTTTAATGCTTTTATTGATCACGTGTTTCCTCAAAAGTATTGCGTGCCACGGTAAGACAATGAACGATGTCATGAAAAATGTTAAAACAAGAATCCCCGTGTCATTACGAACGCCACTAAGATCAAACTTTAATTATCCGTGCCTGCCTGCTTGCCAGTCGCATTTCGGCAAAACGTAAAATTTAATACAGTCGTGTGTAGTACCGTAAACACAAATCAATTGTTTTACCTTGAAATAAATCGATCAACAGTATTTATCCGCCAAACAAACGATCAAACGGATAAGTATGATAAAAAGGCACAAAGATCCGCCGTAAGGTAACGACATATCAGCGAGAGGAAACGCATCACCCGAGCACCGATTCCAAATTTGCATGGTCAAACATTAGTCAGTTTCCCGAGAAGAGCACTCTACGTCCATATACCATTCCGCACATACGCGCACACGCGCGAGCCCTTATCGCTCTCAAACTCCGTCGTTCTCTCTCTCTCGTATACCCATATACGCTTCCATCCCGAGAGCCGTACACCTCTGCTTCCACTGCTGCCACCGTTGGTCCATACTCACAATTACATCAATCCGTGCCGGATTCACTTTATTACAATGGCACCGGCAATAATAAATCTACCCCCCCCCCCCCACAACCCTTACCTCTAGCGCATACACACACGCGCGCATTATAACTCTCACCCCCGCGGAGCTACCTTATCTGCACAACAATGTACGACAACTATTACTCGTCAACTCTGCTCGTTCCGGACACACGCACCCGCCCTCTCGTATAAGCGCAGCTATGCAGTAGCATCGGATAAGGGCGATTGTATGAGCAAACGAGGGATGGGCGCCAATGGGTGGAGGAGGAGGAGAAAATAACGCCGCTACGTCACGAGGAAACAAGCGCCGTTCAAATCAGCCGCATAATAGAGCATCAAGGCTCCTCTCTCTCTCTCTCTCTATCGTTTATCAAGCGAGCCTTGCATTAGATTGAGGCGACACTGCCCTGTCCACCTGTATAGGTGTACACGCGGATGTACATATACACACACCCCATCTCCCGGGGCTGGCTTTTACACTGGTAACCATATCGCCGTCCAATCAGTTATGTCGTTTCGAGGATTTGTATACCATATAGGATCGCTAAAAATTACTGTCTCGGGAAACTTGTTTTGAGAGCTTGAAAACACGCCCGTGAGAGGAACAATGAAATTTTTGAGCGACATCCGTGTCTTTCAACACGTTTGGGTCACACGTTGAATTAATACCCACCATCATAGTGATGAAAGCTGTACCGTACGAATAAGTCGTGGGCCTTATCACAGCGTCGTGAAAAAGTGACTCTGCGGTGATGGTATTAGCCGCAGGCAGCAAGGTGTAATTGGGGAAGCGGTAGGTCGGCCGGTGCCACGAGAGAGGATCGCCTCGACTGGTCCACTTGCTGCACGTTCGGTTGAAAACTTCTTCGCATAGGGACTCTCGTTAACCAGCACGCTAATTAGATCTACGTTCCTCTTTCTTGCGTTAAGGGGAAGAGAGAGGGAAAGTCTCCATTTCAGGCGAGAATCAGTGGATCTCCGAGCAGAGGAATTGGTTGATTGAGTGCATTTGGACGCGAAAGCGCTGTCGTTTTGTTATGGGAAGGTCTTTAATGACTTGAAAGAATACAAGTAAAACATAGTTTCCTCCACTAAAGTACAACGGCTGCACTTAAATACCTACCCTGACCATGCTCATCTTGCCCAAAGCGATGAAAATGTTGTGTTATAAACATTTCAGGTGGATCGCATGTGTAAGAAGCCGATCCGAAACTTCTCAAGACTTCTAATGATGATTGAGTTTTTTAGTCATTACAGTACAATATTTACAACTAACATGTAAACCCCGTAATTGCTTGAATAACGAGTAAAGGCCCAATTTTGCGCTCATAGTTGCAAACAATAAATTTATGAATTATATCTTCAGCTAATTTCAAACAAGCATGAAAAAAGGCCCTCTTCATAAATTACCAATAGATTTTAGCATGTGGTACTGTATGACAACGTATAAAATACGTATGTATCAATTTCGCACACATATAAATATACGCAAGTAGCAACGTTGTACTTGCCAAACTCTGCATTGTAGCTCGTGTATATAGCGACTCGCAGACAGAAGGAATCACTGTTATACTCCCCAACACTGTAAAAATAAAAGCGTATACGAGCTAATAAAAAAAAAAAAAATCCTCATACCCGTATAGTTGAGCACCCGTATTATTCTTATACTTGTACGTACGTAAGGATGATTTTTTTTTTTTGCTCGGAAGTGCACGCGCTCGAGCTCGCGCAACGATGCTTATGGCTGATATGTATCGCGGAAATCGATTGCATTGATCATCGAGGTGGAAACAAAACGTCGGCATGCTTTCGGCTTTCTTTCTCTTCCTCTCGCGTGGCTGGATACTGGATAATGGAAAATATGTACTTTGGACATCGAGATGATGATGGTCCACCTTCGTCCGTGTATCCTTTGTTTTTTTTTTTTTTTTTTTTTTTTTTTCTTTTTTTGGATATCCCCTTCAGATTCGTACCTTTTTTTTCTTCAATATTGGCCTAACATACGTTTTTCGGTTCAATGCTTTTAATTTCGAACTCCCTCTTTGAGAGTAATCGTAGCTTTTCAAAGTATGTAGGATTAATCGTAACTTATACGACTATATGAACTGCTGATGTTTACCTATAATGTACCTATGTGGAGTACAAAAATTAAGAAAATAAACTGTTTTGTTTACAGATCGAAGATGAAGTGGCTACTATCGTTGGCGTGCTTTTTACTACCGCACTTGTGTATCTTCGGTGCACCCAATTCTCGTGAGTATTGTAACATGTAATCTTTTGTTTTAACGTACCAAACGGTACGTGTAACGTCTCTATTTTATTTGCATAATATAATGAATGAAGTTTAGCTGACTGAATGACATGTAGCCTCCGTTGGCAATACTTAATTTTAAAAATTGAGAAAAAAGCCAACTCGAGTATTGTCATTTCAATACGTAACTGGTCACATAACACAAAACATTTTCAACGCATACGTACCCTGGGGAACTCCATCGTTTCAGCGTTAAACAACAAAAACAGGAAAAACCCTTTCAAGCAAATTCAATCTCCGTGTATGTGATAAACTGTAAAAGAGAGAAAGAGGGAGAAGGAAGAGCCAAGAAAAAGCCTTTACTTCGTTTTGGCCCGTCTATGGTGGGAAGCAGCAGTGCCAGACACAGGAAAAAGCAGCAGCAGCAGCATCTATCTCCTTTCTCCAACGACTGGTATTTTTCTTCTGACATATTGAGAATAAACTCGTAAAAACGTACGCTCTCCTCCTCCTTTTGGCTGCATCTACCGCGTGTTTTCTACATTTCGTGTGTGTGCGTTGGCCCCTTTCTTCCAGTGAGCTAGCGCGATGTATTGCTTTTAGCTCCAGTTAATCTTATTGTACTGTACAGTCGTACGGGAAAAGAAAAAGGACGGCGAGAAAGTCGGACGGAGCTCTTAGTGTCGAAAAAAGCACACCCCCCGCCCGCCTGCCGTTGGACCTTTGAAGGTGAACTTTGACAATTTCACATGTGTGTGTGTGTGTTTTTCTTTCGATAATACACCTACGCTTTCATTCGAAGATCTAAGAGCTTGGATAGGTCTCTATAGATATTTTCGGAAACTCCTTACGTCTTTGCAGATTTTCTCAAGACATTGACTAGCTGTCGATGATTCCAAGAAAAATTTGTCAAATCGTCTTCATCAAACATTGATTCCATAAGAAATAACCACTAAGTAGTAGAGGTCAATGATTGACGACACCTAAAATATTTTTGGTAGTAATTTCATTATCAAAAAGATCAAACGCAATGCCTCGGACGTGAACTTCTTTAAAATTTCCTGATCTCACAAAAGTAGACTATGTCAATGTTTCGTCAGACTTGGTGTCATTTATCGTGTTAAAAAAATAATGATTGGTCATCCTCATGGTATTTATGATTAGCAACTGTATTATCAAACGTTAAAAGCAATTCTCAGGAAATTAAATTCGGAATTTCCTGATTACATAAAAAAGTAGAATAGGTCAGTGTTTAGTCAGACGTAAGTGTCATTTTTTGTGTTGGAAAAAAATTGTTTTTTAAACGGTTCTCACAAAACGTCAATCTTTAAAAAATCGAAACTTGTGATCATAGGTAAGTAGTAGAGATTAATGATTGGTAATTTCTACGGTATTAAATGTTGGTAATTGTACTTACAAATTTCAAAAACAAAACTCAAAACGTAAACATCTTTATAACTTATTATTTCTTCGAATTCCGTAATAAGGAGAGTAGGTCAATGTTTGGTCAGCCATGGGTGTAATCTTTCGTGTTGGAAAAAAGTTGGTCTTTCGATGAAACGTTAACCTTTGTAAAACAGTAACACTTGTTATTTATAAAAAAAAATAGTAGCTCAAGTCAACGATTAGTCGGACGCACTGTATTCAACATTAATTCATTATGAGATCAGAAAGATTTTGATGTAAAGAAATATTTAGAATTCATTGGGCGAGTAATCTGGAAAAAAGCCCATCTATAGGTACATCACGTAGTAAAAGGTATCCGAAAATCTCATTAAGTAGGTAATCACGCATAAAGCAGATACTGCGATTCAAAGTGTGCATCTACTGAACTGTGCACACATACGGATACGTAGCGCGCGAGAAAACGCTCCGATCGAGGATTAAAGCCTCTCGCATCCATCGGAATCGACGGTCCAGCGTGAATACGTGTCCCGGGAGAGCACAGAGAGCTAAAGAGCATACACATAGATACACAAAGCGGGTGAAAGAGGGGAGGGGCAAAGTTAATCAAAGTTTAAGCAAACGAGGGCGCACGACCCTGGGTAATTAGCGAGGACCGACCGAGTGGATTCGGGCCGAACTTTTCCGTGAGAGATGGTACACGAGTGTCCGGCTGGTTCCTCCTGTAGGCGCCACTCGAAGGAAAATCGTCGATTTCTGCATCCGTGCGACGAGACGTTGCGCATTTTGTTTGGATTGAGGTCCAAATGTGGCTCATGCATTTCTCACACGAATGTACATTTAATGTACGCTAAAAGAATACGTTTAAAGTATTAAGTTGATGTAAAATTACAAAACGTTTTGTGTAAAACCTCAGCTGCTTATGTAAGCATTAAACCCAAAAGCTGTACGTCCCATTTTCTTCATAGTTCCCACTTTTTAGTGACAATAACAAAGAGATCCGCGTACGAATACTAAACAAAATCCACCCGAGGCCGGTGCATCAACGTGTCAGAGCATACAAATGATCAATCAGCAGAACAGCACGTAAACTGGGCGAATTCTCTAATGGCCGTAAATAATAATTCGATAGGGCAATGATTAATAACGCAAACGCGCCGGGGCATGACAATAAGTCCCTCGGGATGGTCGAGGCCACTTGATGGAAATCGAATCGCCGATGCTGTTATTCGTGATGTCGTTTCAATGCTCTTCCCTTAGCTAGTGTACTGACCCTCTGCTGGTTGATCCCCACAGATCGAGGATATGCTCATCTGATTAAAACTCATTGGAAAGCGATACCTTCATTTTTATTTTACAAGCAAAGCATGGGATGGGAGTACGAAATCCATACGCGTTGCACATATATGTGTATACATGTTTTCGATAACGGCACTATATTGCTTCTAATCCAATGCAACCACGGCCATTAGTTTCGCGTAAATCATGTATACGTATTCCCATTTAAATGTCAATTATTCAGTCGCACAAGCATACACATAGACACTTACGCGACTGAAGTATCCGGTCAACGTCGAGTTTATCAAATATTGGAATATGGATCTGGTTGGATGTACGTACATGTTTCATCCAATGCGCAATAACATACGGCAAAACGAACGTGTTTAATGACGAGTAGATTACTCGTTCGGTATAATTGCGCGGGTATCGTCTAATTAAATTTCCGTATGATCTTATTCCCTCCGGAATCCATAAAGGGATTTCTGCTTCGAAAGAAAAAAAAAAAAAAAAAAAAAAACTAGACGGAGAAATCGATACAGTCCTCTCTCCAACTATATTTCGAGGTGTAATTAAATCGGCACACCGGATTATATGCCCGGTTCGATCCGAGGGCCAGTGCTCGCGGGTGTAAATACTCCGCCACGACTTAATTGAAGAAAACTCAGGTACATCTCAAATAAACGAATTTCTCGTCGATTACCCGCTCGAAAGCGAGTGTCGGTATACTTTCGTTGAGTCGTTTCATTTTTAGCAGCTTATACACTAGATCGTAGAGAATAAGTTAGAAAACCTGAGTGGGGAACTGATACTTTGGACGAACAACCGGAGCTCGACAGCTTAGCCAACGAAACGATGGTCTTGACTGTGCACTTACTCCAGTGGCCCAAGATCCTCAGCCTCTACTCTTAGTTTTTTGTTGTTGTTTAAAATCCCTTGAAACTCCGAGCACATATTTCTTGGTGAGTAACAAAAAGCAAATTCTTCCCTTAAGTATCATACACTTTCTCTCTCGGTGCTTTTCCATTTCCCCCCCCCCCCCTTTATCAGCATCTCGCACACGTACGGAGGGAGCCAGAGGGGGCACGCGCGCGTGATCGAGTCAGCTTGAATATTATGCACACATGCTGAAAGCCCAGATCGTACCTACTCCCGACGCCAACAATATTCAGAGAGAGAGAGAGAGACAAGTCTTGGTAAGGAGATAATACGCGCGCACGTAGGTGTGCTTTCAGACCAAGAGAAACTGGAGCTCGTCGCACCGAAATGTACTCGAGTCGTCTTTGTGTTTGTGCCTATTAATACTGAATTATATCATTTGGCTGGTTGTAAGGAGCGAAGTGCTCCGGCGTGCAGGTTACCATCGTGCGGTGAACGCTGCTGGCGCTGACATTTTGAAATTACCGGGCCTATGACGCTCGTGAGGGTTATACGGGTAACCTACTTGGCTGCTTCGAGTCTGCGTGACTTTTCCAACAATACACCAAGTACACGTATATTTCCGGGTAAGAGCTTTGTTTCTCGGTGTATCCTTGCACGTGCTGTTTTTGAATTGCCTTTGACGTGTATATTATATCAAGTTTATTGCGATACAGATTCAATTCCGTTACATTATTTTAATAATTATGATGAAAGCTCCGTTGCTGAATTCTGAGTCATTGAAATCAAATCCAAGATAAAACAGGGAGGACTTTGTTACTATTTTATACGCGTCTTTTACCGGCATCTCGAATAAAAATAATGTATCACATCTTACCACTTTTTTTCTCATTACTATACTTTCCATCAGTTAATGTCCCGTGCCGAAGCACATAATAGTTATGCAAAAGCCACGAAAACTCGTAAAAAGGATCAACGCCGCAAGATCAAAGGCAAGGGATCAGTCTTTCCTGGAACAAGATCATACCCAAAAATACTCGTGCTGCTACTCCAGTGGAACAAAAAAAAAGTGGCTCATCGTGGCTTTGACTTGATTTACAAATCTGGTCGTGGCCAGATTCATGCCGTAAAAACCTACACGTGCTTGCCTAATTTTCGCGATTTTTTCGCACCTCTCAAGGTTTTGTAGACGAGGTCAAGACAACCACGGACCGATTAGTGTATAACGCGCCGAGGAGAAATTCAGCACGAGGCAGGCGTGACGTAGCAAAAATCCCTTCGGAAATCCTTGCGCGGAAATTGCGACAATCCTCTGAGGGCAGGGGGAGGGCTGCTGTTGGTATATTGGTAGGGTGTAAAACCTCACGTGCTCTGGATTTCGAATGCCTTGGGCTTAGCCAAAAAGGACGAAAAATACACTCCAGACTCGAGATGAGGGAGA